AGGACACTAACAGAACAGACTCCATCAAGGAAGCGGAGGCCGGCAGGACCTCTGAACTGGGGCCCCCACCCCATGACCTCCTGGTGGCCATAAACCCCTGCCGAGATGGGCAGGCAGCCCACCAAGTCACCTGGGGGTCCCGTGGCACACTGAACCCCTTCTTCCTTCTGCAGGACCAGGGCCTGTGCTCTGTGAGCCTGGTGATGGGAACAGATGGGCCCAGTGACACCTGAGCCCCGGGGCACAGCCTGGCTGGGCCAAGACAGAGCACCTGGGGTCCACACAGGAGGCCCACAGAAACCCAGAAGGAAGGTGGTCCCAGGGCCCCCCAGGACACAGGGGAGCCACAGGGTTGAGGGGGTAGGGGTGTAGCCCTCCTCCCAGACTGCACAGCCTACAGCCTGGGGCCATGGAATGGGAGAGAGGCTGACAGCAGAGTTAGGGGGTGGGAGGAGAGGCAGGCAGAGGAGGAAGAGGAGGGGTGAGCGGAGGTCTGAGAGGCCAGAGGGGAAGGGTATAAGGAAGAGAGGAGAGCCAGACTACAGCCCACCTCAGGCCCCAATGTACCCCAACTCCCAGCCCCCAGGAAACTGAGCTAGTGCCCTCTCTACCTGCCAGCCACCCTCCCCGGCCCCCCAGGATGCTGTCCCTTGGTTCCCAGCCCTGATGCCCTGGACTCACTCCTCACCTTCTGGGTCCTCAGGTACCTTGGCACCCAGTAGGGCATCACTGCCTGGTCTCTGGGTGTTGGGAGGCGACCCCCAAACCGGTGGCACGGGCAGGGATAGGCCATGGCAGCCAGTGCGCATGCGCCTGGGCCAGCTTCTGCATCTACCAGGGCAGAAAAAGGCGCTGGGGGGAGGCCCGACCCCACCAGCAAGGCCCATCTCCGCCCCAGAGCCCCACAAGGGTGGGGGGTGAGAGGGGGACAGCCCTTGGGGACCTTAGGGTACCCAGTAGGGCCGTGCAGCCTGTGGCCTGGGCACGGGCAGGGGACCCTGAGACTCAGCCAGCACTGCCACCCAGGGGTTCTCCTAGGCAGGCCAGGGAGACCAGCAGGGAGGGCTGTGGGCTGAGACTGCCAGGGGAGGGAGGGGTCTTGGGGCAGGGCCTGAGACTGCTGGGAGAGGGAGGGATCTGGGGGGCAGCCAGGGGCAGGGACAGCAAGAACACAGGCCGCCCTGAGCTGACAGCCGTGCACAGCCCCCTGCTGAGTTAGGTAAGGCCCTCTGAGCATGGGGCATGGGAGCTGTCCATGGGGGAGGGTGTGTGGGAGGAACCCTCACAGCCCCCTCCGTGGTGATGGGGACACCGAACACCTGCGGGGGTGCCACAAGAGCCCAGGGACCAGGGTTTCCACGGGGTCCCCCTCGTGAGCTGCTGCTCTGGCCCCGCGCCCAGGGAGGGGTCTTTTCTTACCTGGTGGTCTTTCCCAAGCGTTGAAAACACGCTCCTTCGGGAAAGGAACAGGGAGCCTTATAGAACATCCTGGACTTTGTGGAGGTTGAGAAGCGGGGGTGGGCAGGGTGAGGGTGCAGGTGGCCAGCCTGGCCCCGAATCTCCTCAGGAGACCCCATTGGTGGGAGGGTCTGACTCTCACGGGCCAGAGTCTGGGGTCCCTATGGAGTCTAACCCCACACCCGGCCCCACTGGCTTCTAGAACATTCCAGCTGAGTGTGGGCCACACCTATCAGAGGAGCCACCTTCAACCTAGGTCCGGGGGTCTGTCAGCCGGAAGGATTTGGGGTGCTCTTTCCCATCCCCACCAGCTTTAATGTCCAGTCTGGAGATGGCCTCCTGACTAGGGCACCCCACCTAGCAAGCCCCAAGGCCCCGGGCTGCTCACAGCCCAGGCGGGATGTTTCCACACAGCACCCAGCCCCTGGGTCGCCCAGGGGGCCATGGAAGGGGAGGCCCTCTATCGGGGCCTCAGGCCCAGCAATGGCACAGGGCAGTGTCTGCCCAGGCCAGGCCCCAGCTCGGGGTTGGAATTGAGGGGGACATCCCGCCTGACCACTGCCCACCAGGTCGGAGCCGGCACATGGGAGCCGTGTGTACAGCATGTCTCTGCATGCCCATGTGCAATATGTGAGTGCAGACGTGTGTATGATGTGTGGGCGGTACATGTTCGAATGCCCGTGTGCCTCGTGCAGTGTGCAGTTTGTGTACGTGCACGCATGCACGCCTGTCACCATTACCCCTCTCTGGCACTGTCAGGCACCCTTTTTCCAGCCGCCACGACACTGCCCAGCTCGACCCCGCCCCGGCTGTCTGCCGCTGTGTCCGTGCACCCACTGGCGCCGCCAGAGGCGGAGAAGACAGGGTTGTCCCCCAGGAGCCTAGACCCCGGGGCACAATCTGCACAGCCTGGGACAAAGTGGCTCAGTGAAAACCGTGGCGATGGAGCCGACATGATGGTCAATCCATTGCCCGCCCAGCAGCACCGCCAAACCTACCCACCGGCTCAGCCCAGGGGCCTGAGAGCCTGTGCTGCTGGTGGTCAGGGTCCAACAGGCGGCCTAGCACCCATCACGAGGCAGAGAGGTCACTACGGCAGGGGAGCGTGGGCAGCCCAGCACCCTTCATAGGAGGGATATGGGGGTCACTGCAGCAGGGGAGCATGGGTGGCCCGGTGCTCATCACAGGAGACACATGGGGGTCACTACCACCAGGAAGAGAGCCTTATGTGCCCCCAAGGGAATGAAGCTGACCCCCAGCCCCTGCAGCCCCGTTAGACTGGCGAGCCACCCGAGGCTCAGCAGAGCAGGAGTGAGCCCTCCTCTCTTGGCCGCCTGCTCTCTTACTGTGTGTGCTGGCCAGGCAGCTGGCTTCCCAGGCCTCATGGTCCGTAACACTGGTGGTGCCCCCCACCCCGGGACATGGTTGGAGGGGCGCTTGGACTGGCCTCAGACCACCTGGCTGCACCTGCTCACCGGCTCTCCTCATCCCTCCAGGAGCCTGACTCCATGGCCACCTCAGTGGACTAGCCTGGCCACCCACAGCATCCCACCTGGCCCCTCCATCACCTGTTCTCATGGG